GCCTCCTGCCTCACGGAGGCCCCGCCTGCGAGTCCTGCCCAGGTCACCCTCCCTCCCTAGAGCAGCAGCCGCAGGGGCAGGCAGGAGGTGGCCCTGGAAGCTCATCTCTGGGTGTGTATGAGGGCAGCACACAGGTTTGATTGTGGGGCAGGAGCAGGAGGGGAGGAAGGGCTCTGGGCCCAGTGGGGCCTGTGCACATGCTCTGACAGATTCAGCTCCTCTGCTGGGCTGGGTGGCCCAGAGGGACCTGTCCACCTACCGTTTCCGATTGTCCATAGAGCTGGTGGACCAGAAGGCCTGTCCGTTGTCTCCACTTCTCTTGCTCTTCGGGCAGCATGGCCTCCCCGCCAGTAGAGCAATGCTCCAGAGTGGGGAACCTGAGGCTTGGGGGAGACAAGGTGTCCACAGAGCTCAGGGCAGACATCTGGCTCTCCCCCCTCCCCCACCCCCACACCTCTCCTGGGACACAGTCAGGAGTGGTGGACAGGGGGCTGGTTTCATTAGGGGTGTCTTCCTCACTCATCTGGAGCTTTCGCCAAAGTAGGTAAAATTAGCAGAGTATCCAGTGGAGTCATTAGTGATGCCCTGATTGGATTTTTACTGGGTTTGGACCAAGTTCATCATCTGAGGAATGTTGCAAAGAGTGGCTGTCATATGAGCTTTGAAATACAGATAGAGGCAGACTCCAAGGGCATGTTGGGATGGAGGTTTCATGAATAAATGCAAGTTGTATTTCAGAGTTACTTTCGTAAGGGTACTTGTTCAACTCCTTGACATTTTAACTCTGTGCCTAAAAGTTATTAAGTCTGATTTTTGAAGCAACCATTTCCACTTTAGATTCTCTAAAATATACATAAGTACCCATTAGGTTCAAAGACAAGATTGCAGTTTAGCTCAAAATTAATCTATAAACACGGGGAAATACAAAATAAAACTATAGCAAAATGACACTACATCCATCAGATTGGTAAAAATTAAAGACTCTGACAAAAACAAATATTGTCAAAGATGTGGAACAAGGGAATCCTGGCTCCCTGCTCGTGGGCACACAGGATGATGGGATACTTTGGAAAATAGGTGGTAGGATGCGGTGTCACTGTGACTCAGCAATTTCTCCTAGAAAGACCCCACACAAATGAGTGCTGATGTGCACAGGGTGAATGTGCAAGAACAGTGTTAGTCATCAGCAGCCCTCGAATGCAAACCACCCAGATGTCCATTAGTGGTAGAGCGGATTGAAGAAAATGTGGACTTTTTATAAAATGGGATGTTATACAGCAATAAACGTTAGCTACAGCAATATGATGCAACATGGGCACATCTTAGAAATATAACGTTGTAAAAAGAAGCCAGACATTACAGAATAATATGATTACAAAGCTCACAAGCAAGTAAAAGAGACTAATATTTCCTAGGAGGTAAACTACAAGGGGGAGGGGGCGGTAGAAAAAAGACACAAATGATTGAACACCATAAAATCCAAGACAGTGAGTTCCTTTACGGAGCTGGAGAGGTCTGAGTAGGTCACTGGGGGCTGGCAATGTTCTCTTATTGTGACTTGAATGAGTGGTTACATATTGGTTTAATTTTCAACAATTTCTTAATCAAATTTATGTCTTATGTTTGTTATTTCACAATAAAAAAGTTTTAAAAAAAAAGTTTAAAAAAGAAAAAAACCCGCATTGAGGCAAGGCTCACTGATTCATTTGGATCTGAGTCCTGCTTAATAAACTAATTAGACTGGCTGGTAATTATCGCCACCAGCATTTCACACACACACACACACACACACACACACACACACACACACAC